TCCGCCCCGTCGTCTCCGCTCCCCACACGCCTGTCCTCGGTCTCGCCGTGTCGCAGCCCCGAACTTGCGTGCTCGCCGGTTTCTTCGAGGCCCTGGCCTCGCCTTTCACGTCACAGCTGGGAGGCGCAGGTCGGCACCCTCCTCAGCCTCGGGCTTCGGCCGGCCTCCCTGCCCTCCCTGCGGCTTCCGAGTCCCCCTTCCGCCGCCCTTCCGCCGCCCGGCGTTTTGTGTTTGCTGCTGCTTACGAAGCACTGAGTGTCTGGCCCAAGGGCCCTTCCTGTCCCCTCACGTTTCTCGCTCCAAACTGGCAGTCCGTACTCTGGTGGCTTTGGCTAGCAGGACCCTTAGGGCCAACAGGACCCTCCGCCCTGCATTCTTCACACCTCCGGATCCCTCAAGACCTTCACGTCCAACTGGATCCCTGACCCAGACCCCTTGCACCCCCACGCCTCCCGTCCACCCTAATTTTTTTCTCTTGGACTTCGGGGCTGGCTCGCACCTCTTCCTGCATCCCAGTCCTGCCGTCATCCTAGCAAGCTTACCAGGAAGAGAGGCCTTCCTCCCCACGTCAGCTCCTCCACCCTCTCCCTGGATCTATTTCTGGATCCATCCCTCCTCTGAGACACTAGACCCTCTGGCTTCAGCCTCCACCTTTCCAGTTGCCTGGTGTCTCCGACCTCTCCGCCCTCGGAGACGACGTGGCTCTCAGTGCCTCTGCTTCGTCCCTCCTGGTCGTCTGAAGCACTCCTTAAAACACTCTCTTACTTGCCCTCGATGTCCTCACCTTGCCTGTCCACTGCATGTTCTTCACACGCCCAGGCCTCTTATACTCCATTCTTTCTCTCTGTGTCATCCTCGCATCCAGAGGACACTGCAGCCATGTGGCCTCAGTGCAGCACTACAGCTTCTCCGCTGCATGCCGGAGTATCTCTAGGGAGACATACAGCTTTGCCAAACCTTTATCATTCTCCTCAAACTAAGATGTCTGTCCTTAGAAGAAAGAAATGACTTCATTACAAAGTTAATTAAGTATAGGGCCAAGTGTGGTGGCTCACACCTGTAATCCCAGCGCTTTGGGAGGCTGAGGTGAGAGGTTTGTCTGAGCTCAAGAGTTCAAGACCAGCCTGGGCAACTCAGCGAGACCTCGTCTCTAAAATAAAACTTAAGAATTAGCTGGTCATGAAGGCATGCACCTATAGTCCCGGCTACTTGGAAGGTTGAGGCAGAAGGATCACCTGAGCCTAGCAGGTCAAGGCTGCGGAAGCTGTGACACTGCACTCCAGCCTGGGGGACAGAGTGAGACTGACTCGGAAAAAAAAAATGCTTTCAGCAGTGTTTGGCTAGAAGTAGGTACAGAAGCTGTAGGGAGTGTAAAAGAGGTTTCAATTGACCGTTGGAGTTGGCTGATGAAAAATACAAGGAAAGACTTCTAGAAGCGACCCTTGCTTGAGCTGTTTTAAAAAACAAGAGGGAGAGAAGGGTGTTTCAAGCAATAGAATCATGATATATATAAAGCCATGGAGGCAAGAGAACATGATGTTTTTAGAATTTTCAAATGGCATAGCTGTAAGGGTAATTTTACATGAGAAGGCTTTAGGTTGAAACTGAGCAAGGACATTCAGATGACTGACTTTTGTTCTTCAAAGAGTCTTGCTTTACAACAAGTTTCTTTTTACCAGACTGGTTTCCTTGATGGGAGGGACTGTGTGCTTGTTATTTAATGCCAAGCTTCTGTAATACTGCTTTCTGGCATGTAGTAGGCACTCAAATTTACTAAATTAAATAGTTGGTATGATCGAAGCTTAGGGTGTATAGAGGACATGACTAGATATTGATAAATATGAGATTTGTGTGCCTTTTAAGGGCGATTTTTGCACAGAAAAGACTCTTTGAATGTTTACTTTGATTTTTTAAAATTAATATTTAAATTATTAAAGTTACTAATTTAAAAATCCAATTATTAAGCATTTAGGTTTAGTGTATAAATTTTATTCTAAGACTAGAAAATTTTAGTAATAAACTTTAAGAAGATTTTAATTAATGTTTTTGGTCCATTTACAACCTTAAACTCATTTAATTATGAACTTAATATATTCTATTTAAGTACCTCATTTTTTATGCACATAAGCATTTCTCTTCTTAATTCCCTGCCTTCCCAGAGTTGTAAGTTACTAATCCATTAAGGAAGCACATTATCCCATACAATTACTGGAGTTACTTTCTGTCATACTTTTTTAGAGTTATCTTCTCAACTTGCTGAGATTTCATAATGATTAGAGGACATTAGCTGGGATGTACTGGACCCTCTGGGACACTGGACTCAGCTTCTAGAACACGATTCTCTCCTGTTTTTCCTACCTCTCTGTCCGCTCTTCCTCAGTTTCTTTGGCTGGTTTCTTCACACACACCCTCAGCTTGATGTTGAACTGCTTCTCCATCTGCACCCTCTTCCTTGGAAATCTCACCTATTCTCATGTCTTTAAGTATCTATGTGCTGATGACTCCTAAATTTCTATCTCTAGCCCACCCTCTCTCTTGAATTCATTTGTCCAGCTACCCACTCAATATCCCCACTTGGATGCCTAACAGGCATATCAAATTTAATATGTTTAAATGTGAGTTCTTTCTTCCTTGCTCTAACCAGTCTCTTCTAGTCTTCCCCCATCTTAGTCAATGATATCTCCATATCTGGTTGCCTAACCAAAAACCTTAGCATTATCCTTGACTCTTCTTTCTCTCATGCCAAACATCAACTCATCAGCTAGTCTTATCATCCCTGACTGAATTCCCCTTCTTCATACCACTTTTACCAGTCCTATGCTGGTCTGAGCTATTGTTTTCTCTCACCTACATTATTCCAATATTTTTCTAAAATAGTCCCTCTGCTGCTACCCTTGTCTCTGCATGCTGTTCTCAGTCCGGTGATTTCTTAACAGGTAGATAAGATCATCCCCCTCCAGGCTCCCGTCCCATTCAAAGAAAAAGCTGAAGTCTTCAATGTGGCCTATGAGGCACTCAGTGATTCCACTCCCCATACATATTCTGACCTCATCACCTACTCCCTTTAACTGTCTCTACACCAGCCATGTTGCCCTTATCGCTCTTCCTCCAGCTCATCTGGCAGGGTCCTAACTCATGGCCTTTGTTCTGTTTCCTGAGATGTGCTTTCCCTGGGTATCAGCATGGTTCATTTCAATTCCTCCAGGCCTTTAGTCAAAATCACTTCTGCGAGACCTTCCCTGCATACCACCCTACATACGCCTTCCATCTCTGGTTGAATTTTTTTCCTGAGTACTTATCCCCTCTAATATTTATCACACTTATTAATCTTGTTTGACATCTGGTCCTACTACTATATAGCTCCATGAGATCATATTTTGTTCACTGCTGTATCCTCAAAATCTAAAATAGTGCTCAATAAACATATTTTGAATGTCTGGATAAAAGAATTTAACCAGAAATTCATAACTTAATGAAGTGAGCAAATGGCCCACATAACCTAGATAAGAATTATGTCATACCCTAATTCTTCTGCCTTCCTACAGATTTTGCAACTACCACCCACATGACAAAATTATTCTATTTTGCATTTCTTTGGCTCTTGTATAAGAAAACAGTAAAGGTTGTTTTAACTTTAAAGAGTCTTATAGCCTTTTCATGGATCTCTTTTCATCATATCTCTTAGAAATACACAGTTCATGTAGATTTAAAATAATATTTAATTAAATTTTGGATCTCTCAAGGCTTTGTTCAATTATTTGGTCACAGCTCAGAACTGGATGATAACAAGGATAGTCAGGAGCTAGTTTATGAAGGGCCTTACATTTATAGTAAAAAAGATTGTATTTTTAAATTTTATTTATTTTATTTTTTTCTGAATTGAAGTCTCACTCCGTTGCCCAGACTGGAGTGCAGTGGCACGCTCCCGGCCACCGTAGCCTTGACCTGCTGGGCTCTGGCAATCCTTCTACTTCAGCCTTTCGAATAGCCGGAATTACAGGCATGTGCTAACACACCCAGCTGATTTTTTTTTTTTTATTGTAGAGATGAGGTCTCGCCAAGTTGCCCGGGTGGGTCTCGAACCCACAGGCTCAGGCAATCCACTCACCTCAGCCTCCCAAAGCGCTGGGATTACAGGTGGAGCCATGGAATCCAACCAGAGATTGTATTTTAACCTAAAAGAAATAGGGAGCTATTGGAGAGTTACAAATGAATTTATATGGTCAGATTTGCATGTCAGAAAAGGTCACTGTGGAGGCAGACTAGAAAATGGATTGGATAAAATAAAGCTACAAGCATGAAGACCATCTGGGAGTGAAGGCAATAGTGAAGACAGCCTGTACCGTTCGTTTTAAACTTTATATCTTCAGCTCCAACCCCTCCTGAACTCCAGGTCCGTATATTCAGCTGCCTATTTGAATCTCCACTTGAAGGCCTACCTAGTAGGTATCTCACATTACTGACATACTCAAAATAGAGCTCTTGGTTTTCTTTCTAATCTGCTCCTCTCCCAGTCTTCCCCATTTCAGTTAGTAATACCACCACCATTTATCAAGTTGCTCCAACCAACATTAGTAGTCATCTTTGATGCCTCTCTTTCCGTTACTTGCCCCTGCAAGCCTAGGTCCATCAAATCCTCTACCAAGTTCGGTTTGTTCGACTTCCATAATACATCCTGAACCCTTCTGCGTCTCACCTCTGACCTCACTGATACTGCCACTCTTCCTCAGCACTGTTTTGCACTTTTTTTTTCTGTTCCTCAAAACACATCAAGGCTATTCCCACCTTTCCTTGAGCTATTCCCTCTGCCTAGAGCTCTGTACTCTTCACATGACCAACCCTTTTGTTGTTCAAGTTCAGTTCAAATGTCCCTTCATTAGAAAGGACTCCCTGACTTTCCTAGTCAAAGTGTCCCTTCCCCAAAAGATCCTCTTTGTTACACTGCCCTATTTTATTTTCTTTGCAGCTGTTACTACAAACTGAAAGTAGCGTTATGATTCTGATTACTTGTCTGTGATCTGTCTCTTCCCACGGAAAGGAAAGTCCCTGAGAGCCTGGGTTTTATATGTCTGGATCCACAGATACACTGCAGTGCCTACAGAGCCATAGTAGGTGTGTAGCACGTAGTAGAAGTTGGGTAAATGTATAATCGATGGCGGATAATGGGATGAACCTCAGTTATTGCAGTAACCTTGAGAAGACGGAGGAAGGGACTGATAGGAGACACTTTAAAGAGAAGACTGTGAGCTCCACAAAGGCAGACAGTTCAGTTCAGTGGTGGCTCCCAAGCACTGGACCTTCCTGACCCATAGATAACTAAATATCTATTCCATGAACAGATACAATTGGTGTTTCAATGATCCCTTAAGTCAGAAAGATATGAGAAGGAAGAAGACTTAATGATGGCTTCAGATTTATGGATCAGGCTACTGGGTGAATATTGGTGCCATTCACTAGGTTGTAGAATGGAGGAGGAGCAGATTTTGGATAAAGAAAAACACGTTTAGCTCAGGCCTTGCTGCATTTGAAATAATTAGGGAACATCCCACAGGATGTAGAAGGCAAGTGAGCATATAGACCTAGGATTTCAGAGCAGGTCTGGACTGCAACATCTATTTAGAGATTCTCAGCATAAGCAAAGCAGTGAAACTGGGCAAAGCATCCCCAGTGAGAGTGGGTAGTGCAGAGAGAAAGGGCTAAGAAGAGCCTGGCTGGCATTTCAGAACCAGCAAAGGAGGGGGCCAGGAAAGAGCAGGGAAGAAGCTACCAGACATGGATGGAGTTTAGTAAAGAACAAGGTTGAAACACCAGGAGAGGAGGATTTTGAGCAGGAGAAAATCATCAAATGTTCCTAAAAAGGATGTTTGACTTTGGTGAGACCAGTTTCAGTGAATGGCAGAGACAGACTCCAGAGGACAAGTAGGAGTGAGAAAGTAGGAACTACAGGGCAGGAAAATATGTGAAGCCTGACTGGGAAGGACAGGGAGGGAGTAGCTACAGGAGAGAGGGTCAAGGAAGGTGTGCCAGACATTCCTTCCTCCCATCACCTACTCTCAGGCCCCTGCCCTGCCTACTGCCTGCACCTCCCCACCTCTTAGCAGACTATTCCTACTTACCAAAAAAGTAAGGCCAGCAGAAAGTATGGGGTTCCTGAATGTGGAATGGCTCCATGCCTACTGAATTAACTCATTTACAGATGTCAAGAGACTCTATACCCTGCCCCTGTACCCTAGTTCTCAGGTGTCTCTCAGGCCTGATCGAGGACTCTCTGCTCCTCCCTCAGAATTCCCAACCTTAACAAGGAAGATGGCAGGAGGGGGAAGACCATAAACTGTCAGAATTAGATCTTTTCAATCATCATTTCCTTCCTTTATTCAGCCAACGTTTACTGAGCACTTTGTTTTCTGAACTGAGCACTAGGAGCTGTTCATTGAAAAGACAGCCCCTGCTCTCCAGGACTTCACGGTCTAGTTGGGGAGACAGAGTCCATAATCACGACACTGTGAGAGGCTTAGGGGCACCATGATGGGGTATGCCTAGAAAGCCACAGGAGAGCTGAGCAGAGGCCTCTAACTGCAACAAAGGCCAAGGAGGTTTTCCCAACATGTAGAGTGGGAACAATACCATCACTACCTGTTTTCTGATCACCTAGTTCATTCCTTCATTGTCATGAAATTTTAAGTTCCCTGACAGCTCCTACAGCCTTTTTAATCTGTTTCTTTTTCATCTTACCTAGGCCAGTGCCTTGTGCATAAATGAGTGAGCATCAAATGTTAATGGGATGGATGTACGCTGATAAAGATAAGGAGAAGATCTGGAGTGATTTAATTAGAATTCAATACTTTAAATAACAGTAGGCATGATTTATTAAGTGTTTATTATAGTAGCCACCGTGCTGAACAATACATAATTTATATCAATCCTCACAAAACTCCATGAGATATAGATACACTAAGTCCCCTACATATGAACAAGTTCCATTCTGAGAGTACATTCATAAGTTCAATTTGTCTATGAGTCCAACAAAATTAGCCTAGGTACCCAACTAAAACAATTGGCTATGTAGTACTGTACTGTAATAGGGTTATAATGCTTTTCACACAAATAACATATAAACAAAAACTAAAATCTCTTCAAGCATATGGTACAGTACCTTGAAAAGTGCAATAGTACAGTGCAACAGCTAGAATCAGTGAACAGGCAAGAAGAGTTACTGACTGGAGGAGGGAGAGGAGGTAGGAGATGGGTCAAGCTGCAGTTTCACTCATGCCTGACTTGGATGTAAGAAAACAGACAAAACCACAACTTGTAGAAGATGCATACATGTGACAATGTACATCAGGCATGCAGACTATTGGACATGTAAATGTACATTCTCATCTTTGAAAGTTTGCAACTTAAAGGTTTCTATTTAAGGGACTTCATGTACTATTAACAATTCCCTTTTTTAAAATGCAAAACTTTTTAAAGTTACCAAAAAAATTGTCAAGAAGATAAGTGAATTGCTAAAGGCAACACAGCTATTATGTAGTGGAGACAAAATTTAAACCCAGACAATTCTATTCCATAGCCAGGACAGTCTCAACGGGCCGCTGCCTCTAATGCCCAAGAAAATCCTGCTGGAAAATTAAGTTGAATATAACCTTTTAAAATCTGTTAATCATTTCATGCTTTAAAATTAAATTATTAGAGCTGGATACCATGGCTCACGCTTGTAATCCCAGCACTTTGAGATACTGAGACAAAAGGATCGTGCGAGGCCAGGAATTGAAGACCAGCCCAGGAAACATAGCAAGTACCCATATCCACAAAAAATGTAAAAATCAGCAGGGTGTGGTGGTGCATACCTGTAGAAGGATTGCGTGAGCCCAGGAGGTTGAAGTTTCAGTGAGCCATGGTCATGCCACTGCACCCCATCTAGATGGCAGAGTGAGATCCTGTCTCTGAAAAATAATTTAAAAAACGAAACTATTAAACTTACCCTTCTCCTGGCTCCCATAACTAGATATCTGTATGTATTATATTAACTGCTATTTAGATATCTACTTTGGCATCTGTAGTATTCTGGTTTGTCATATGATATGTGAATGACTTATTCCCATATTACACTAGAAATTCCTTAGGTGCAGGAATTCTACCTTCATAACATATCCACAAAACAGCTCGCATCTTAGTGGGTATGCAATACAGTTTTGCCAGAATTAGTTTCACTATTGTATCACCATAATGGCAAAGACTTTTTTCCTTATGATGATGAGAATGTCATTTCAGCCTTCAGCTATGTTTGAAGGAAGTGTTTGTATGGCAAGGATCGGAGAAAGGGGAAGGACAACTGACATACGCCAAATGCTATGTTGGGCCCTTTATACACATTTTCATATAATCTTTACAACAGCCCTATGGTGGTGGTGGTTGAATCTAAAAAATAGGGCACGAATTCTTTGGAGGAATCACGCAGTTGTGAGTAGTGGAGCTGGAGTTGAAATGTGGGCCTGTCTCACTGCAGCTTCTTTCTGTGCACCGCTTAGATGGCTGATTCTGACTCTGGGGAAAGAAACTATGACAACATGCTGAAAAAACTGTCAGACCTGAATAAGGACTTGGAAAAACTATTAGAAGAGATGGAGAAAATCTCAGGTAGGATGTTTTCCAGGCAAGTTGCCTTCCTCTGTACAATAGCTCAAATCTTTCCCAAATTTCTGCACTCACATCAAGTGCCTTCTTTTAATGATTCTTCCCCAACCATCACTCAACTTTTACAGTTTGTAACTGCCACACCACAAACTTTGACACCACTCAATGTTGTCTTAAATTATTTTGTGTCTGTTTGCATCTTTTTTGCATTCCCCAAGCTGGAGTGCAGTGGTGTGATCATAGTTCACTGCAGACTTGACTTTCTGGGCTCAAACAACTCTCCTGCCTTAGCCTCCTGAGCAACTGGGATTAGAGTCATGTGCCATCACTCCCAGGTAATTTAATTTTTTTTTTTGTAGAGACGGGTATCTCACAGTGTTGCCCAGGCTTGTTTCAAAATGCCTGGCCTCAAAGCAATCCTCCTCTTCAGCCTCCCAGAGCACTGGGATGACAGAAATGAACCACTGCTCCCAGCCCTCCTTGCATCTTATTTCTGCACCTGGAGTGTTATCTTCCTAAGGACAGAAATAGTGGCTTCTTTTGTAATTGGCTCAGTAACAGGTACAAGCTCACATGCTCATCAAGTGACAAACAGGTGAATATGACACCTGAACAGAATTGGAACATTCTTTCTGTGAATCTTTTTTTTTTTTTTTTGAGTTGGAGTCTCTGTCGCCCAGACTGGAGTGCAGTGGCCGCTCCTGGCCACCGCAGC